TGTGGTCGAAGAGGCAAAAACACCGCGCACAGCGAGGTTTTCGTGATGTCAGTGTGCAAAAACGTGGTTTTGCCGTTTAACGCAAAGTTTTTTTGGGGTATATATAGACTCGATGAACAAATTATGACCCGCGGATGCATCGGATCAACATCGTCAGATTGGAAAGATTCATGCGTTGTTTGGAACATAGATTCGAAGCATTGCAAAAAATTTGGGAAATCACATTGAATGACAAACATTTGTGAATATTATTATGAAATCGGCATCGGATCAACTTCGTCCGATTTGCGTATCACGCACAACTGCATCGGATCAACATCGTCAGATTGGAAAGATTCATGCGAGTTGTTTGGAAGATAGATTCGAAACATGGTAAAGCATTTGGGAAGTCACATTGAATGACAGACAAGTAGGTAGTAGGAAGAGAGGGAGAAAGGGGAGGGAGGCGGCGTGGGAAGGAACTAGGCCTGTGACAAGGGCCGACAAGGGCTACAACAGGGTCTATGACAGGCGAACAGGGTTAAGGACAGGAGCTATGACAGGTGGACAGGGCCTATGGACAGGGCCTACGACAGGGGTTGACAGGGCCTATGGACAGGGCCCAGGACAGGGGTGGACAGGGCCTGTGACAGGGGTTGACAAGGCCTATGGACAGGGCCTATGACAGGGGTCGACAAGGCTGCGACAGGGCCTATGACAGGAGCGGACAGGGCCTATAGACAGGGCCTATGACAGGGGTTGACAGGGCCTGTGGACAGGGCCCATGACAGGGTTCGACAGCTACGAATAGGGCCTGTGAAGGGGGTGGACAGGGCCTACGCACAGGGCCTATGGTAGGGGTAGACAGGGCCTGTGACAGGGCCTGTAACAGGGGCGGACAGGGCCTATGACAGGGTAAAGGGTAGGCTGTCGTGTGGGGTTCTTTATGCCTTTCGACAAAACACCCTAGCCACATGATGTAAGAGCCATGAAACCGTAACCCTCAAAAGGCCAGGCGAGCCAGGGCAGTAACAAGTACCAACAAGCATCAGTTTTTGCTGCTACGGTCTGTGTGTCTTTCCAGTACCCCTTTGCGTGACCTAAGCGGAGGCAAGCCGAGCTTCTGAGTCTGCCCTTCATTCTCTTATATCGTGCAAAGGCGCCTCCCCCAAACAGAACCCCGATTGCAGACCCAGCGTCGTTGGCTGATGGTTGCCTGGGCCCCGGTGCTGCAAGAGTCCATCCTCACCCTGGCAGGGAGTGTCGAGTCAGGAGCTTGGCCATGCGAAGTTGAATGTAGCATCGACATGTTCGTCAGTGCCCAAGAGTCCAAGAGGTGAAGACACAACAGGGAGGGGATCTTTATGGCAGCTATCTTTTGTGTGGAGCGGCAGGCACGAAAATCATCAAAGCCTCGAACCCTGCACATCGAGCCCGTTCCTCACGAAGCGGCTTGCGCTCACGGATCACCGCGACACAGGCGAAACCTGGAAGAATGCAAAGGCGCATGGAGAACTACCTACCGGCACTCATTAGGGATCCCACCTCGTCACCGGCCTGAGGGATCGAACTGTTCATTCTGGCATGATGAGTTGCATCATGCACCCCTTTGGTGGTCTAGCCGGTCATGACACCTCGCCTAAGTTGAGAGTGGGCTCTCATCGGGAGCCCGAAGCGCCACCCCGAGCCGTAAGTTTTCAAATTCAATCAACTTAAAGCATCCATGTCAAGCTCAGAGCCGGTGCACCTGAAGCAACGGCGACACCGCCGAAGATGATGCCTGTGGCCTTGTCTGAGCAACGGTCTCAATGGGCCCGCTCTCTTGCAGTGTTGCAGGGGGCGACGGGTACAGAGAACCCTGGTAAGCCGTGGAACCAGCACCTCCACTCTGGACAAGAGAGGGCAGCTCGTTTTAGTGGCCTGCACCCTTGATTTACAGACCTTCAGGGATTGACGTGAAGCTCTTTAAACAACTTCCTGCATCGCATGCGAAAGTATCACCTCTATCTCCTATCTCTGATGCACACAATTCAACAAATTTGTCTTGCACTACAACTAACTGTAGAGATCTGTAGAGGGTGTCAGCTTTGCATAAATAGCCTGGCGCCCAGTGAAAGTCTTTCATCGCACGGTGGGCCTGGACCGGAACTTCAGGGCCTGGCTACAAGACTAGCTACAGAGAGAAAAAACAAAAGCGAGTGAACCGCCCTCGAGATGAAACTTTCCCACAAGCCTGTCAGCCTGGAACCCCGAAGAAAATCCGAATCAAGCAGGTGCTGACCTGCTAGCTGGAAAATCATGGCTTAAGAATTGGGGCGACCGTAGCAGTCAAGGACGTAATATCGAACTTTTTGTGCCAAGGTTCTAGCATCGCCTGTCGGCTCTGAATACCATCGCCTGAGCTCGGTTGGCCAGACTTGAATCTGGCAGCATGTGCTGCATTGGCGGTCTTCTTCTGGAATATCCTCTCCGGCAGCCAGTCTTCCTACAAGGCTAAGGGTGATTTATGATGACGTGACGGCTGCCTGCAGGAGAAACAAGCGAGGCCTGCGTTCCAAGCAGCCAACGTGAGGGCCACTCGGACTACAAAGGACCTCTCAAGCCCTACTTTTTCGGGACTCCCCTTCGTTTGTTCTTTGTGGCTGTCAAGTGCTTCGCCACGCACCTCGCCGTAGCCAGATGCTTAGATAACCATTTCCATATTAGGAACGCGCTTGGAGTTTCCAACAACGTTTTCTTGAGAAACAGTGCGGCGTGCTACAAACAAAAGCACCAAGCTGCATGGCAGTTGCAAGCCCCGTCTTCAACTCTGGAATTCGATGAGGACTCGGCAAATTGGATTTGTGACTGAGTCTTTTGGTCAAGTGAAACAAGTGGCTTCGTCACGAAAATGTGAGTGATTCTCTGCGGTGGTGGTTGGCCTGAGACATCGTTTGTCCGAAATGATAGGAAGCCGTTTTGAACCCCGTCTCATGGCTGACAAGCATCATCTCCGCTCCAGCGCTGCACAGTGACCCTGGCAGCAGGGACGGGCTGAACACGGACAGACAAAGGCGACCGTGGCTTCATTCAAGCACGCTGGATGGTTGACTTTGTTGATATCTCCTCACGGCAGACAAGGGGTAAATCATCTGGACAATGAGACGCCAGAAGCGAGAATCACATCCACCAAGCCGGACACCTCTGCAGCGGTCCCATGACACTCGGCGGGCAGCTTGCAGTCTGCGCCTCGGCTCCCAAACCCGGGGACGTCGGACGCCAGGCCAGTCATGCCAAGGTGCTGAGAATAGTTCCCAAGAGCCTGGGCTGATGAAGACGTTCCCAAACCGATCACAGAGGACGAAGACAAAGGATACCAAAAAGGCAACCAAAGGGAGTGGCCCCGCACGCTTCTGAGAAGCCGTTGCCTCTGTTTCGGGCGAGCCGGGGAGCACTGGTAAAGCCGCCGCCGCGATCATGCCAAGAGCCTGAAATCACGGCATCGCCATCATGAGTGGCTATCACACCACAAGGAGCGCAAAGCAGCGCGGACAAGAGTGCTTCAGATCAGGATTTTGGCCATTGCTGCACAGCTTCGGTCAAAATTCAGCAGCACCGGAACATGCCGAGCCGCTGCAGCAAAGCTTATGCTTGTCATTCGGAAGATGGGCCACAGTGCTCGGACTCAACATCGCTATGTAACTGTAAAGCATCTTTGTGCACCTGCCTGGAAAATCTTGGCCACCATGAAAACCAAGCGCCTCTGGCTGAGGGAAGTGAAGAACTGAATAAACGCGAAAAGGATGATCCCACTGCTGGACCTTATACCGTTTTGGCTCGCGAAGTCAAAATCCGGGATTCGATCGTGCCTCTGATCGGTGTCTGAAGTGATCTCCTGCCCGAGCGCATTGTGAGGGATTGACATAAGCCTGAGTCCACAAATCGCAGCTTGCGGAGTCTGAGGGCCGACAACTTGCCAGGCAACGACCGACCACAGATGGAAAGAGGCTTTGGCTTCTGCAGGTGCGGCTATCTTCACTTGGCAAAGCCCGAGGCGTATCTGTCAAAAAAAAGAGGATGTAGAAGCACCTGAGCATGAGGCGAAAAATTCTGAAGCTTCGAGCACTCCCCGGACTCGAGGCTTCTGGCCAGTCGTACCGACAGTTAACACGATGATGGAGGATTGCTTCTATTTTCCCCCGGCCACAACTGCTGCGACTGGCCGTTGCGAGCCAACTGCAGCAAACCCAAGGGGCAAGGTCAGATCCCAAAATCCGAAGATATCCGAAGCCCGGGCTCTCATGGCGAGTGTTACACCGAAAAGACTGAACCAAAGCAAGTCATCCCAATCCTGAAGACTTAAGACGGCTACGCGGCTATGCTGTGTTATCGTCTGCCCGTGTCTGCCCCATGGGAGTTTCACCACGATTGAGTGATGTCGGCGAAGCTTGGGCTCCCTAAAACCTAAACCTCCACCTCTTCCCAATAACCCGATGATTCCACACGTGCTTCGCCTTTGGTGGCGAGGCACCCGAACCAAACGCCGGTGCTGGCCCCCGAGAGCGACTCCGGCGGTGTGCAGAGTGCCTGGCCGGATGTGGGGAGTGTCCCGTGCTTCCTTTCGAGACTTTGTGGGAGCTTCGACACTCGCCAGGTAGTCGTGGCAGGTGGTCAGGGTTCGGCTGTGCAGGTGAGGCTCCAGGGTCTTCTCTTCTGGGATTTTGCGCTGAAGGTGACCGGGTTGGTCACGACTGGGGGCATGTTTAGGGGCAGTCCTGGAACATAAGAACCACAAGACTGGCCGCAGGCACAAGGAGGCAGCCGCCGTAGAAAAGGCAGCCGGCGAAAACGAACCTGTGCTGTATCGTGGGACAAATTCACCGTTGGAGACTGAAGCCATAAAGCCTCGTAATGCAGCATCATCTTCTTCATCGTCATCATCATGTTCGTCTTCATCGCCATCATCTTCATCATCGTCACCAAGGTCATCATCGTCATCATCATATTCTTCTTCATCTTCATCTCGCCAAGCTACGGACAAATATGCAGCACAGCAACGCAGATACACAGGGGTAATACACCCACTCACACGAATCACCAAGGCATCTCAGTCAAAGCATTGCCGATGCCCTCAACCTTTGCCCTTTAAAAAGTGTTCGAGGCGAGAAGCGGCCTTCGGCGACCGAACCTTGAGGAAAAGCCGTCCGAGATCTGGCACACACAAACTTGACTCATATCTTGCAGCAATCGGATGACCACAGCATGGGGACTTGTAGCGGGCTTTTGTCCCACTCACATCGCAGATTCCAGCGTCCGCTGCAGCTGCAGCAACAGGGGCATGGTGTGCTACCAGATGCTACCGGCTACCACCAACATCGCTGCTTTGTTCGAAGTGCTCGATTCTGCGCCTTTGCTCCTCGCTTTGGACATGTTTGGCCCTGAAGTCTCCGGCTCCGGATCTGGCCTGCGCCATCAACGGATCCGACAAAACGTCGAAGCAGCGGGCGGTTGAGGTGAAGAAGGCGATCGCTCCCAAGGAGGCCCCGGCCTCTGTAGCAGACCATTCCCGCGTCGGGATCGCAGAATTGCAGCAAAGCCCTATGACACGCGCTTGAAGCCCCAAGTAAACCAAACGTGGCTTCATTCTTTCTGGGCAGGCGCACCTGCTGGTAGAAAGTGAGGAGGTGCACACTGATCCTCGGTACAGGCAAATCATTCTTCGGACAGGCCTCCTGAGTTCAACTTCAGCGCTGCAGTATCTGAATGTTAACATCACTGCTACACAGGACCCCGAGTTCCAAGACGTCTGCTTTCCCTAACCTTACAAACCCGGAAGGAATCTCTACAAGTCACAGATCGCAAATGGCCCAGGTACATCAAAATGTCAACATGTATGCACCCACATGTGCACCCACTAGCCGCTCAGCCCGCAGCCTGGCAAAGCTTTCCCTGACTTTCTCCCGCACGCGGCACCCGTCTGAGGTTTCAGGTTTGGGCCCTCCTGCTTAGTCAAGACCACCAAGTTCCATCATGGCAACGAGCCGCAGCAGCTGCACAGGAGTCTTGGCAAAGTCCAGGGCTCCGTAGGCAACTCGCTGGCGCGTGTGGACCTGGAAATCCTCGCGTGCCAATTTCATGAAGGGCATACTAATGTCGCTCCATTCTGCTACCTGTCCTGGAGGCTTGTGGTGTTACGACTTTCGGCTTGACTTATACCACTGTTCGAGGCACATCCGTACGGCGAATTCCAACCCAGTCCTTTCCATCCTTTTCCTTCTCGTTCCTTGGATTCGAACGGTGTTCATCCGGTTTATGACATGTTGCGACCCTTATGCTCGGACACAGCAGCCATGCTTCCAGGGCTTTTCGGTTGAGGGTCAATCACGTCGCGACTCCAACAACTCCAAACCCCGTCATTTTTTACCTTCCCCTGCAAGTGGCGGAAAGAGAGCCTCACTACGATCCTTCAGCAGCCGAAGAAGTTCAGTTCCCTGAGACAGGGCAGTCACTCCACGGCCCGTTCGAGACTGCGCCTTGGCACCTCTGACTGCCGGCTGATCGCAGAGGCGTGGAATTCCATGCAGCAGAAGGCCGGAAAGGAGCTGCAACAAAAAGAGTGACAGCACTGTTGTTTGCAGTCGATGCCCGTTCCAGTGCAGACTTGGCCCAGTGCCTGCACTGGGTATAGTGCGCAAGTGAATGGGGCGATGCCTTGAACGGACAGTTTGAAGAAGGGGGCTCTCTTGGAGGTTTTATTGCCAGGCCCGTGGTGCCTGCTATCTGCAAAAGCTGGTTTGAGCCCAGCGATGGAAGTCGAGCCTACTTCAAACCCACAAATAAACGTAATGCTGAAAGTCGTATCGGACTCGAGACACAACAAGGAAAGCGGTTTTTTGCAACCGATGCGCAGGCCGGGCATGCAGGCCCACGGGATCATAAGCTCCTGGCTGCCAGCTGGGCAAAGCTGCCTTGCATGGCCATGAGTTGGGCATAGGTGCCTTGCTCAACAAGCCGACCCTCTGCAAGGACGAAGATCTTGTCGGAGTCCCGGATGGTGGACAGGCGGTGGGCGACTGTGATGGTGGTGGCCTGGATCTGCTGGATTGATTGCTGCACCAAGACCTCCGATTTAGAATCCAGCGCTGAGGTGGCTTCGTCCAAAAGCAGCATCTTCGGTTGGCGCAGCAACGCCCGTGCAATGGCACAGCGTTGCTTCTGGCCTCCGCTCAGCTTCCCGCCGCCAAGGCCGACGCGATGAGACCAGGGCTTCGTGCCGTCCAACGCATAGTCCATGTTTGCACCACGGGCAGCACTTAGAACCTCTTCATGGCTGGCACCAGGGAGCCCGTACTTCACATTGTCCTCCAGAGACATATTAAAAAGTATGGGCTCTTGACCCACCAGAGCTACCTGACGACGAAACCAAGCCACATCCAGCTGGATCAGGTTTTGGCCTCCAATGCTGACTCGACCGCGCTGGGGATCATAGAAGCGCAGGAGGAGCTGGATAACCGTGGACTTGCCACTTCCCGAGAAGCCGACGACGGCCACCCTTTGGCCTTGCCGAATCTCGAGGGACAGTCGATTCAACACGATGACTTCGGAGCGGTGAGGATAATAAAACACCACATCCTCGAAGCGAATGGTCCCATCTCCCAGGCTCTTGATCCGCCCTTCAGGTTCCACTGCGTCGATGTTCGACTGCAGGTCGACAAGCCGGAAGACCTCCGCGGCTGCGACAGCACCTGAGGCCGAGTCCGGCAGGTACATGGCGATCATGCTCACGCTCTGAAGGCCAAACGTCACACAGAAGAGGGTCAACAACACCTCGGAGCACCATCCACTCCCTGCTCTGCTCCGCTCTGCTCTGCTCTGCTCTGCTCTGCGACCCTTCTACTTTGACTTTCCAAGGGCGCCTGCTCGGCATTGAACTTGCCGCTGCTGATCATGATCGCACTGAGCCAAAAGCCCACCAAGTAGACCAGCTGCACGAGGCCCGAGCTGAAGCCGAAAGCGAAGGCCTCAACCGAAACCCTTCTCAACAACCAAGGACAGAAGACCGGATCGCTGCAATCCAAAGCCTTCTTGCAGGCTGCGCCCTTGTGGTAGTCCGTCATCACCTGGATGCTCCCGTAAACCCGCCCAGGCCGTGCGCAAAGTAAAGTTGAAGGGGCAACTGCAAGTGCCTGGAGCAGCCCGGAGACAATGTCCAGCGTGTGCTCTTCGGCACCCAGCGCCCTAGCCGACACGGTCCATACATCGAGCGATAAACAAGTCGACAAGGTGCAATGAGGAACGATCGTAATAATGCGACCTGTTGCACCCATTCAAGGTTTGACGTTATGCTGGACGGATCACGCATGTGTCCTCGACTCCTCACTGGGAGGATGAGAATTTGCTGATCACCACAAGACGATCTCATGCAGGTGCATGTGAGCACGCACTTTGGAGTGGCAAAGGATGATGAAAAGAATAAAGGCCGGGGGGGAGACCCAGCAGCATGAGTCCTGAAACAGCCATCTTGCGATCAGTATCTACTAAGTGAAACAGCCGAAGCCAACAGCTGAAAGAAAGGCGAATGAGCATGCATCTAAAGAGCTACAAGGCTGCATCATCGCACCGCTGTTGCGCATACAGTTTCTTCCAGTGGTAGCCATGCAGACTACAGTATCCGCGATGACGAAGAGACAAGTCCTGGTGCTAGAAAGGCCGGTGCGCGACGAACTGACGAAAAGAAATTTACAAACGAAAGGAAGTAAACCGCGGCACGACACTGCCATCATCATCATCACCACCATTATGACAAACACTCCAGCCTCACCATCACCACGACTACCCCTCGTGACCGCCACCAATACAACTCTAGCCATCACAGTCAACGTCAGCATCACCATCGTGATCGCCACCACAAACACCTCAGGCACGTAGTCCCCTTTGATCGTCATCTGGATGACCATTAACATCGCGATCACTGATATCCCCTTCTGCTGAACATAATGACGATCAGGATACTCTTTCCCTGCGACAGCAGAAAGTGGCGGCAAATAGTAAATCAGATACACTCGCACAATGTCCGCTTGGCTGTGGATACATTCGTCTCAACACATCTCTACCGAAACAACATGGTGGTAGGAAAGCTCCAGCCCGACCTCCGCAAACCTACTGAGTGGACAAACTCCTCTCGATCCGACGATCCGAACCACCAAATCTGAAATCCGAAAGTGGAAAGCTCTCCAAACAGTGGTGCCAAGTATTTAGATCGAACACCGGTCCCGAAACTTAAACAACCGGACAGGTCCTGGCCTTACTGTCCGAATGGACATGACAGCTTCTGAAATGCTCGAGCCGGACATGGCGTAGGCCGCTTCCACGCCCGGAGAGACCTGCCAAGGGCACAACTTGCATGCATCAGTGCCCTCTCTTCTTGAAAGTCCCCAGGGTTCTCAAGTGGTTTAAACGGTATTGGAATACCGTAGACCCAAATTAAGCAAGCAGAGCAGTAGCTCCGCCGTTAAGAAAGAGAAAGCCATGACACCGCACGCCGCACAGCAGCGAAAAAGCGCTTGCTACGAGTGGGAAAGTTGAGGCGGAATGTCCGCCCACGACCAGTCCTATCACGAGGTGCTTTACAAGGAGCCAGCGGTCACAGTGACAAGATTGGAAACTGAGTGACTGAGCGATCGAGCGAGTGAGTCATACGGTGCGCCCTTTACCTCGCCCACGTCCCTCTCAACATCAGGTGGGGTCATTGCCTCCTCCGGCACACAGTTCAAGTATACTGCTTGCAAACTAGAGAGAAACTGGGACAACATAAGCTTTAGGATAGACCGGGAAGAATGTTGCGGCGGTCGCTTGAAATGCACGCGGGACACATGACATACTACAAATCCCACAAGTAACTCCTTGACATGCATGCATGCACGGCATCGCGGCAAGAGACAAGTCCTACACATCACATAATGACGACTGCCCTTATCAAAAAACAATGTTAAAGTGAGACTATTTAGATTGGTCCAAAAAAGCATGCAACCGACATCTTCAAGTTCCAAGGAGGCGAAGCAGTGCGGCCAGTGCCAGCACAAAGCACTCACTACTCACCGGGCCGACTCTTGGTGTGCGCCAGACGCAGAGGGAAGACTTGCTCCAGCACCGAGGGCGCACACACAAGCAGGCAGGAAGGAAGACTCGCGAACTGCGCCAAGCAACCATTGAACCGATTGTGCGATAGCGACAAGAAATAGCAACCCTCATCGCAGTCAGGAATGAGAGACGACGATTTAGCCAGTCTTTAAGATATGGCCGTCAGCTCTGCATCGCAAACGCCCAAAGCACCTCTGCTGAGACTGAAACCTACAAACCCTAACGGCAAGAAAAGCACAGCGCTTGCTCTGGAAACGGCCATTCTATCTTGGGTGAAACGGCCGTTCTATCTTGGGTACTGCTGGTGCTGCTGCCGTCATTGCAAATGCTGTGACAGTCGATGTTTGCCAGCAAATATCCTGATGCAAACCCTGTCCTGTTGATTGGGAGTCGCTATGATCGGGATCATGTGTTTCGCTTGCGCTCACACTCGGACGCCGTCAGACTTAGATGGGGTTCTTGGTAAAGGGGAAACATTCTCAAGGTCGACGGACATGTCAAACACGTTGTCAAACACCTGGCCTTCTGCGCCATGACGGACACAGACATGGCGAGGAAGCCGCATATAGGCAACACGCCCAAGAGTATGGCAGCGAGGAACCTGGACTCATTGACGTAGCTTCCCGTCTGGCAGGCTGAAAGTCCCCTGCTGGCAAGGAAAATTAAATGGTGCCTGCGTCGCCACTGCTAGAGTTCTGACTTCAACGCTTGCCCGTCCGTTTCCAAGGGAAAATTTGGCTCAGAGGCAAAGTGCGAATGGGGTTTAGGAGCACGCGAAACCTACGTACCTACACCTCTAGCTGCAATCCATCATACCATGCTTGTGGTATTACTTCCTAATTATTCGGTTTTATGTGGTGTATCTGCTTCTAGGTTCGAACATCAGCCTTGCAACCTTCCAGGGCTGAGGGCTTTGGGTTTCTGCAACTTCAACTCTTGCTGTTGGGCGCTTTGCGTTCAAGCTTCGACGCCCGGGGCTTCAGCCTCGCAGTTCAAAGCCTGGGGCCTAAGCGGACCCGGACATCCTATCAACTATCTGATGCCCAACACACGCCTTCATCCCTCTTCGAGGTGCAAGATGTTGCCAACAGATTGCTTTTGAGGACCGAACTGGAACACCACATGTGCTGAGCCTGTTCGGGACCAAACCCAGTTAGACCTCCTCAACCAGCAGTCCACCAACCCAAACCCCATGAGCTCATAAAAACACTAGATCCTTCTTTTCGCCGGGTTTAACACCTCAGTGGAAAGGCGAAAACACCCTGAAGAACCGCCGAAGCCGAGGAGCCAGGACCCAAGGAAGCTCACCAAAACCGAGACGACCGCAGTAAGGACGGCCATGACGGTGTTGGACCTGAACTACATCTTCGCCCCTGGTTTCCCAATGTCTCACGACCCCAAGAACAACAACTACTGCTGCTGCTGCTACTGCCGCTACCTCTACCGCTACCGCTACCGCTACTGCTACTGCCACACACGCTCTATGGCTGGATCTCGAGTAAACAGAAGTAAATGCTTGAGCTACCTTTAAACTCAAGCATCTCAAGCCTTGGGGCTCGTTCTTGAGCCAAAGTTGCCGGTTTGCGGAGCAAGTACTGATCACGTACACGGTCGGACTTAGCCACCCCGTGACGCTCACATCTGCTGTCTACTGACTGGTTCTGCATAGCTCACATAGCGACACCACGAATTGCACGAGGCATCGAGGTCTGTTCGCACCCCCATAAGTTACACCTTCGGTCTTACCCACATAGCAAGAGAGTCGATTTGATCTGAGAATTTCAAGATTGGCTCCGAGGCAACTTTGATGTTGTTCTGGCGTGTGTAAATGTCCCCAATTAGTGACTGCGTGAAACACGGCTACGTCAATAGAGATCCCCTGTTCTTGAAAAGAATGAGAGAATCATGCCACTGAAGAAAGCGGCACGCAAAGGGTGCGCACAGCCATGTTCTGCAAAACGTTCTTGTAATAGACGAGGACGGCCAAGATCACCCTGTGGATCAGTATTTTCTCCGGTAGTGATCATCACGCCATCTGCTGCGACTTTCGTATCCCCCTTGGAAACTCTGCGACTGATCTCGTCGTTGTTGAACTCGCTGTTCACGTCCTGATCCTTCACTTGGCGTTGGAGGTGGACCTCTTGGCTCTGGAGGAGTACGTTTGGCTTGGGCCTTAGCCTTGGCCATGGCTTGGGCCTTTGCCACAGCTTCCACTTCATCTTCGGCTACTGGCGTGTTGAGGATGCTGGTCTGACCCGGTTGCATGTACATGTCCGGTGTGATGTGCATCAGCGCACGCGCATTTGCTGGTTTCGGAGCAATGCGATTCTTGGTCAGTTTGTCAACGAACTTCGCCTGCATCTGAATGTTGAAATCAACCATCATTGCGAGTAACGCCGTGGTAGAGTTGTTAAGACCGAGTAACATCACGATGCTGTAACGGTCAATGCATAGGACATGCTCTGTTGTTCCTGCTGAGCTAGGGTGCAACAAAGTGAACATGCCATAGCCAGTCGTCACGCCGATGATCTTGCTGAGCATGTAATCGCAACTTGAATGCATCTGAGGAGTTTCTTCACCTCGATCATCTCATCGCGCATGTGGTTGCGAGGATCAAACTTGGTTCTTTTGGAGCCCATACTGCTCCACGCATCAGCTTCGACATCAACTGATTCGTTCTGAACTTGTTGAAGAGGTGCATGCCGTCCGGGTCATTCGGGTCGTCGAGCCCCCTCGTGTACGCAAGGACTTCCTCATCGGTTACGTCCCTTGAAATCAGGGTTTTTGGGTCGATCCGTGAAAGGGATTCTCCCCAATGACCAACAGCATCATACCTCATTCCTTGTCGAAACTGTTCTTGGACCTTGGGAAATGACAAGTCGAGCCAACGCACATTGGCCTTCCAGTTCTTGTGCATGTAGTTGAGGATCATGTAACCCATATAGGGCGCAGCTGCCAATTTGGAATCGACGCTGTGGGGGTCCTTGACATCAGAGTAGTATGGCACTTGCATGTTTATCCTTGCGTGAGCAAGTTTAGGTTCGATGATGAAGGCATTGTCATTGACCAAGACCCTGGACGTCGTTCGTTGATCTCGTTTTGATCAGTTTCATCAACGTCTTCCATCTCTTGCTCAGGTTCTTCCATCACAATATCACTGTCGACCTCCATCTCGGGTTCTGCCACTGTGCGAACGTCATCTTTTGGTTCCGGTAAAGGATCAGCAGAGGTTGTAGCTGTTGCTGCTTCCATAGCCTGAGCGATGTCCTCTTGAGGGATCTCCAAAGGAGCTTCCTCTTGAGGTGCTGCTCTCTGGTACTTGCCGCTCGAACAGAATGCTGTGCAGCACTCTGCACACCTGGACAAGGATGAGGGTACACGCGCAAGGCACCATGGGCAAATCCGATATCGAACGGCTGTATCCCAATGACTTCTTGGTTGTTCATCAGGGACGGTACACTTGATGATGAATACCGTGGCTTCCTTGTACATTGTAGAGAGCATTGCGACGATCCCAGTCGATTTCATTTTCGTCCACATCCAAGTAGTCAGCCAAACGTGCAATGTACCTCGCCCTGCTTGAGTCATGTGGTCCATGTGGACGATCACAAAGTAAAACCATCAGCCTTTCGATTGTTCGATAGCTTTCGTAGATGTAAGCAGGTGGAGATCGGCCGTACAGCACGCAGACTTCGTCTTCAAGTTCATAGTCCAGAATCTTTTCGACTTCTTCACATCTGCGTCGACTGTTCACACCGGGTATGCATAGCCATACTTCCTTGACAAACTTGAACGGAATTGGACGGTTTGCGACAATGATTCCAATCTCTGTAATCTTGCCTCCCTGACGTACGAGATCTGTGATCGGCACATACAGGACCACCAGAGGCGTGTTTCTGTTGGCAGACGAACGACACTTGGTAGTTTGGTTGCGCGGATCCCAAGGTGCAAATACGCCCCAATGACTGTGCAATCTTCCTGAAGCGCTCTCATCGACGACGTCCTTTCCTGCCCAAATTCCGTCTTCCATGATAGACTGAAGGTTCCAATAGTCGGTACTGTGGTACGTGCCCTTGATGATGTCGATCAGTGTGTTGGATGGTGACGTGGCAAACTTCGTCGGGTCAATCGGCATCAACGCATTCTCCCAGTCCGTGGAATGCCCGCCCGTTGCTCTGATGGCCCAGGGTATGATCCATTGATCAGAAAGTTCGAGTTGTTCATCTGTAACGCGTCGTGTCTGACCTGAACGTGCCTATTTTTGTCTTTGAACTGTTGCGTCAACTAGCACGTCATCGAAAGGTCGTGCATTTGGTGTGACATGGTTGGCATTCGGAGGGTCAGCAATTCGGATTCCGAGAAGTTGTAGGCGGATCTTGGCGTTGTGGGCATTTCTGGCATTGATGTGGCTCCCGTCGAACAGCGTTTGAAGAGGTCGATTGTACGGCCTCCTTCTTTCTTCCACATGTCTGTGATTGAGTGGCCAATCAAGATTCCGCTTTCGATTGGACCGAAGGAAATCGTTGTTGAGAATGTCCTCGATCTTCACCCAACCTGCTTCATCACAAGGCATCGTCGGTACATGTTCGGCCTGCAATCTTGACGGAATGTGATGCTTGTCCCAATTTGTATCTCAGGTCTGTCTGGATGCAATAGCATGCGTGCAGTGCATAGGACTTAGCCTCCTCACTGTACATAGCCGTTGGTTGTGCTTTCTGAAGTTGTCCCCAATGTGGATGGGCGAAAGAGCAACCACCGTTGGCATCAAGTACAAGTATACCGCAGTAAACCTCGTCTCCAATGTCCACGTAGGCCGGGTTTGCATAACGCCCCCATAGTCCTTGTACGAGAGCATACATTCTTGGGTCACCGCGTTGTGGTAGTGTAGTCCGTGTTTTCCTTAATGCACTGTAGCACATCATGGCTTGGCAGTCCTACACTAGGAATCTCTTCACCGCAAATCTCGTTGACACCTCTTCGTTGAAGAACTTGAACTCTGCAATCTTGTTCCCTGTCGCACCTCACAATGAACATGCCCCTGTGCACCGTTTCTGATCTTGGCCGTGGACTCGCATTGGCACGTGGCCGCCGAGTAGAGGATGAAGTGTTTCCTGTCTCTTCCACATCCATTGGTCCTGATGCTTGGGTGCGAGGCTGCTGCTGACTATCTGACTATCGTCACGAGAGGATGTCAATGTCTGGGCGTTCGGATACGATTCGATGGCATCCTTCACAAGTTCAAAGACTGCATGGCGATTTTCGCAGCATGCTGGCATTGCAGTCTCGGAAAGAGTGTTGTGAGCTCCCGCACAGTACACAAAGGATCCCCGTGCGTTCGCCAACCTCGATGCAGCCTGAAACCAATAGTTCAATAGTTCATAGGTTCAATGCGTCCCATGCTCTTGCCTTGACTTCATCATTGAAGTCAATGTCAGCGGCTGGTTCCATCTCTTCTTGGTCCGGTTGCGCCTCCTCCATGACTTGGTCGTCAGCAATAACGGGTGGTACTTCAATGCCTTTCGAAGAGTCGATGT